GCTACTGTAATCATTACCTTTGTTGTATTTTTTTGTACCATAATTGTCTCCTTTGTTGTATTTCTTTTCATCCGAGTTATCACCTTTGTTGTACTTTTTGGTATCATAGTTGTTTCCTTTGTTGGATTTTTTATCATTATAGTTATCACCTTTGTTGGATTTTTTGGTGTCATAGTTGTCTCCTTTATTGTATTTCTTTTCATCAGAGTTATCATCTTTGTTGTACTTTTTTGAACCATAGTTATCACCTTTATTGGATTTTTTATCATCATACTTATCGTCTTTGCTATATTTTTTGTCATCATAATTATTACCTTTGTTGTATTTTTTATCAGATTTATCTCGATATGTTTCTCGTGATTCAGTTTCCCAGTCATCATCAGAAGAAATCCAAACATTTATTTCTTCATACATATCTCTTTTATTATCATAGACTGGTCCAAAATCACCAACATCTTGACCATATTCAAGTGGAGATATTCCATGATGACCTACAACATGATAATCATCCGGATATCCATCGTTGTTACCAGAAACATATTCATCATCTGTATCATAATTACTTTCTTTTTTTTTATTATATCCACTACGATGTTTATTAAACTATTTAGAATAAAAATAGGATAATGTAAATGACTTTTTTTGTAAATTGACTTACATAACGAGGTTCATCTAAGAAAAGAAGAAGGAAAAAAATGTGAAATTAATAAACAGAAGACAAAAATGAACTTACACGAGTCACTATCATCTTTATAATGTTTTGTTGTATCTGATTTTAAAATAAAGAAATGGAATCGATGAAAAAATAAAGGACAAAGTTGAACTTACGTTTGGTACGTTTAGTTGTTGAGTGTACTGGGGAATGCGTCGTTGGATGCGTCTTTGAATGGGTAGTAGATCGTGTAGTTGGATGTGTTGTTGGATGTGTTGTATCATGGGTGGTTAAAGATGGTTTGGGTCTTCGACGTCTGCGGGTGGTTTCATCTGTTTCTGAATGTGTTGTTGGATGTGTGATTGGGTGGGTGGTTGCATGCATTGTTGGATG